GGGATGCAGGGGGACTCTTCGCCTCACGGATCCCCCCCCTTGATGGGTACATCCCAGTGCTGCTGCGATAGCCGCCGGGCCGTGCTCCAGAGATGTGGCGAGAGGAGCGTGAGCAATGGCTTGGCACCGGGGGGCTGCTAAGTCCTGGCCTGCAGTGCTCAGCCTGGCAGGGGGCAAGAGCAAAGAGCGCTTTGGATCTGCTTAATTTCAGCTTGACATTTGGCAGCAGCGAATAAAATTAAAATATTTCCCATCGGGGGATTTTTTGAAATGTTTACATATTTTTCTAAAAGGTTTGAATTGGCTGGAGAGGAGGTGAAGGAATCCATTAAGTGCTGCCGCCAAGGGAAACCTTCCCCAGGGTGTTGATGAAGAGCGAGCTCCCCAGGGGCATGGCCGAGCTCTCCGGGATGGCAGGGCTTTTAACACCAAGCCGTGGAGAAAACCTGGCAAGGCTCAGCCTGCCCTGCCACCCACTGCCTGCATGCTGGAGAAGGAGGTGGCACAGAGGACCTCTCCCTCCTTGGGATGCTTTCCTGTTGCAGATGCCTGGCCTCCTTTAGCTTGCGCACTGCCTTCAGACCCCAAACCCAGACACAGCGTGCGATGTTAGTGTTACTTAGGCAAGTTTTATGCCTCTAGTTGGCCCTTGGGTCAGCTGAGATGATTTGATGGTGATGAATGCCAGATCCTGCTGGCTGAGGTGACACCTGGGAGGATAAGAGATCCCCAGGGCATTGTGGTTCCCCCAAACTGGGGCAGATGGTTGTCTGGCTGGTGAGGATGGTACTTCCCTCCCAGAAGTGGGGGCCCAGTGCCAAGCTGCGTCTGCTAACCTATTGTCTCCGTGTCTCTAGTGGTGGGACGCTGCTGACTGTGACCGGCACCAACCTGGCCACCATCAAAGAGCCCAGGATCCGGGCCAAGTACTGCAGCTCTGAAAGGGAGAACGTAAGTGGTGCTGGCTGGGGCTAGGGGCAGAGAACAAGGTGGAGGGATGCCATCCCTCTGCAGTGCAGGGCAGAAAGCACATAGCTTCCCCGTCAGGTGTGATGGCCTGGAAGGGCTGAGGTCCAGGGGCTGCCACCCAAAGATAGGCACCAATCTCCCTGCAGAGCCTCCAGCCAGGTGCTGCCAGGACAGGGTTGAGATCTGAGTGTGCAAAAATGCTGGAAGGTTTGTGGGGGGTCTGCAGGATAGTGACAGAAAGAGCCCGTCCCCAGTGACCTCCCACCTGCAACCCCTTGGACATCTATTGCAGACACGAGTCTGTCTCTGCCCAGGGGCAGGATGTGGTGCCTGTTGATGTGATGGCACAGGACAGGAGATCCTGAGTCTAAATGCTATGTCCAGAGCTGCTGCTTGCAGGAGATCCGTGTGGGGTCCGATCCCGACCTCTCTGTCGGGAGCCGGGTCTGACCTCAAGTCCATGCTTCCTGCAGAACTGCACTGTCTACAACGACACCACCATGGTCTGCTACGCGCCCTCCATCGACAACCCCGAGCGGAGCCCTCCGGAGGTCGGCGATCGCCCGGATGAGATTGGCTTCATCATGGATAATGTCCAGGCCCTGCTGATCGTCAACACCACCAACTTCGTGTACTACCCAGACCCGGTCTTCGAGCCGCTCAGCCCCACGGGGATGCTGGAGCTGAAGCCCAGCTCTCCCCTCATCCTGAAGGTAAGGCAGTGTGCGTCCGGGGGCAGAGTGGTAGGGATGTGTCCCTGGGTGGACGTGGCTTTTTATCTCTCCTGGGTCAAATTCCTGCCCTGTGAGAGCACAAATTTGCTTTACAGTGGGTTTTTTAAGCATTTCTTGTTGCATGAGAACTGACAATCTGTTCCCTGTTCCCTCAAAGGGCAGGAACCTGCTCCCGCCGGCTGCTGGTAACTCCCGCCTGAACTACACGGTGCTGATCGGAGACACTCCCTGCACCCTGACCGTCTCCGAGACCCAGCTCCTCTGCGAGTCGCCCAACCTCACTGGCCAGCACAAAGTCACGGTAAATGTCGACGCTGGTGCCTTTGCTTCTCGTGTCACAGAGGTTCAGTCTTTATCCCGACGCTGGCCCGGCTGCGTGCTCACACTTGGCTGAGGACCGGATAGTCGGTGCACGTGGAGGAGCACCCTCAGGCGCCTGCTCCCCCGGCATCGCTCTCCGTAGTTATGTGTTTGGTAGGACCAAATACTTCGTCCCCTCCTCAGCATGCTCGGCCAGGCATCCCTGTGCCCTGGGTGGCCCTGGCTGGCCCTGCCAACAGCTGCCATTCCCTGCTGGGTGCCAAGGGTGCCAAGGCGGGGGGATTCCCACCCCTTCCCCCTGGTGCCGGCTCATGCCGTAAGGAAGGCTCCTTTGTTTGTGGGGTTGTAGCACAGCGGTGCTTGCGCTCCAGGACCCTGCCAGGTTGAAAGGGACCCAGCGCGGTCCCCACCAGTCTCCCCACCCGGGGGGGAACTCGCTTCACATCCCATCTGTTATTGTAATGTTGTCTGAATGAGACATCAAACTCTCTGCCTGCTCCACGCGCACCGGCAGCGTGTGTCCTGCATCCCATTAAAGTGCGCCGTGCTGCTCCGTACCAGCTCCTGCCATCCCTGTGGTTTTCCGCACCCTTCTTTCCATGGGCTGGGAGTCAGCCCCCAGTTCCCAGCACAGCGGGCACAGTGGGAAGGGCTGCCCTGGGCACATGCCCCCTGCCACAGGCTCCTTTTTTTTCCCCCCCATGGTGCAGATCAAGGCTGGAGGGTTCGAGTTCTCCCCAGGGACGCTGCAGATCTACTCAGACAGCCTGCTCACCCTGCCTGCCATCATCGGGATCGGTGGCGGAGGTGGTCTGCTCCTCCTCATCATCATCATCGTCCTCATCGCCTACAAGCGCAAGTCCCGGGATGCTGACCGGACCCTGAAACGTCTCCAGCTGCAGATGGACAACCTGGAGTCCCGGGTGGCCTTGGAGTGCAAAGAGGGTGAGGGATCCCTGTGCTGCTAACCTGGGCGTCTAGGAGGGTCCTGTACTACCCTGAGGCTCAGAGTGCCCCCACCCTTTCCACGCTGCCTTCCAGAGCGGGAATGGGAATGGACAAAGCTGCTTTGTCAGAGGAAGTGAACTCATTTTGGGTGGGATCTGGGGATTTTTCCAGTTAAGGAATTCCCCTCCATTTCTCTGAATGGGAGAAAAGAGAGCAAGGAGGGTAGCGAGGGCTGCCTGTGAGTGGGCAGTCGGTCTCTCGTTATGTGACAGACGGATGCTGTGAAATTGGACACAATTCCTTGTATGATCCTGCTGATAAAACCTAATTGCCCATTATCCCCCAGAGTTGGCTCCCAAGGCCCCGACCCTGCCAGCCACAGCCACCCCAAGCCCAGGCGCTGTGGATGGAGCAGGCACCCAAAAGAAGATATTAAAAAGGGGAAAGAAAGACAAACCCTTTCCTCCCCCAAATCCCCATCCCTGCACATGCCTGCGGATGGCACTGGTGACAGGGAGAGGGGAGGGAGCTGGTGGAGAGGATGGTGTCTTGTCTTCCACAGCTGGCAGATAAAAGGATCTGCTTTTAATTAAAAGGCACAATCTCTTCCCTGCCTTTTCTCTTTTCTAGTCCCACTAGTTACAGATAAGATAGCACGCTTTTCAAGCTGACGGTTTGTTTTTTCTCATCAGGCTGACGAGCCTGCAGTCCTCTGCTTGGCTTTCAGCTCCCTTTAAAGTGCCGTTAATTTGATTTTTCTGAGGGTTTTCTCCCCCCTCAACCCCTTTCCCTGGTGCATCTCCAGGACTCCTCTCCCGTCAGCTTTTCCCTGTAGGTGCAATTAAAGGTTCAGGACACCCCCCCCCCATCACCTTCCTCTGGGAGTCGCAGCTGCCTCTGCTTGGATCGGGAGGTGCTGGGGTGGGTGTGTTCAAGCTCTTCTCTCGAATAGTATTTAGGTCAAAAAGAAACGAGGACATTCTTGTGGTTTAGGCTAACATTTCCCCCAAGAAGCTCTGGCTTTGTTCAAGCCTTGCCGTCCCTCGCTGCCCCCAGCATCCCTGGGAGGCTGCAAGTGCTGAGGAGGGGGGATTTGAGCCCCCTGGGACCTGGCAGTCCTCTTCCCCGATCTGCCACTCGATTTATTCTGGGGAAGTCATCCCCACTGTCTGCAGATCAGTGTCTCTGTCTGTGAGGTGGGGACAGCAATCACAGCCTGCTGCGGGGGGAGGGATGTGGAGCTGATTCATGCCTTGGGGGGTCCCACCCATGGGGTGCTGGTGGGTGCCGATGCTGTGCCCTGGGACTCTGGGATGTGTTGCTTAATTCTGCTTTTCTCACTCCAGCCTTCGCTGAGCTGCAGACTGACATTAACGAACTGACCAACGACCTGGATGGGGCTGGCATCCCCTTTCTGGATTACCGCACCTATGCCATGCGGGTTCTCTTCCCGGGGATAGAAGATCATCCTGTGCTGAAGGAGATGGAGGTGTGGTTCTGTCTGTCTGTGTCTGTAGTGTTTCACACTGGGGCTGTGCCCCTGCCTGGGGCCCTGCACGAGTCCCTGTGCCACAAGCATCAGGCTGGAGAGATGCTTTGGTCGGATGCTGGTGTGGCAAAGAGCATCTCGCCGCGTGGCAGCCGACGTGAATGTGGACCTGCTGCTGAACAGTTACTGTGCTCTCTAACATTAATATCAATATTTATATTAATATCATTGCTGCTGTCATTTTCTACAGCACTTGCTTTATTCAATTGGGTTTGTTTGATGCCTGACCGGCTGCTCGTTTCTAGCAGGCTTGTCCGACATTGCCTCTCGCTTGGCTCCGTTTCCCCACGCAGAGCCCATCCTTGGCATCCTTCCCCTGCTCCCCAAACCAGCCCCCTCTCCTCTCCCAGCTTCCCCACCTCTGTTTAATTTCACGCGTGCAATTGCACAGCAATTGGCTTCTCCTTTGCTGGGCTGCCGAGGCCGCTCTTGATTAGAGAAAGGAGGGGGGTGACCTTAGCTTCCCCTCGCTGGTGACCCTGCATGGTAATTGATGTTGACGTGGGCTTCACAATGTATTTAGGAGAAGTAATCGGCCCTGGTGCAAGATACACGCTCACTAATTACAACGCAACAAGCTCTGACCGACTGCAAGTGCACGTGCTGGTGTGGAACGCCAGCATGGCTACAGCGCGGGGCCCTGGCCCTCTGCCCGCCCTCCTTCCCCGGTCCCTAATCCCAGCTCAGCTCCGAGGGCGGACGGCAGAGACCCCCGTTTCCATGGATTTCCCCTTGCAGCTCGGGTTTCTGGATGCTCAGAGCCGCAGCAGGCGTGAGCGTAGCCCTCCCAGGGGCACAGCCGTTCCTGTCTGTGCAGACGCCTGGCTCTCCTCTCACCTCTGCTCTTGCTCTTAAGCGTTTTTCCTAAGGAGAGAGGGGTGGAAAGGGTATCCAAAAGGGTATTGGAGGAGGAATTTTGCATTGACCACAGCAGGCTGGGTGGGAGTTTGTTCCCTTCCAGCTCCTAATTCAAAAAAATCCCACTCAAGAGAGCGCACCAGCTCAGCCTGGCCTGGGAAACAAGGGGTTAAGTTGCAAAGGAGGGAAAAAAAAAAAATCCCCAAAAGAGATAAAATAAAGCAACTACAGTTGTGTAAGCTTCATATAATTTAATCAGGTTTGCTTTTATTTGTCTCTTCACTCAGCGTGTAACATTAGCTGTTGTAAGTGATGGGAAGGAAACGGCGCTTGCTCACGCACACGCTAATCCGCAGCGAGCACCAGGCTGTTGGTACCCGCTCCCTTTCTCCGTAGGTTTTGGGTGGGAGGTTTGTTGCTTTGTATGAATTTAAGCCTGATTAAATATTTAATTTGGCATTGTTCATTCATTTTTGCTAATGATCAGCAAGTCAAATACGGGGGCCCAGGGAGGTGACAGGCGTGGGGGGAGCTCAGGCATTGCCGTGCTGTGTGTGATGGGGGTGTCATGTCCTCCCGTGCTCCCTGCCAAGGCTCCAGTGGGATGGTCTCTGTCAGGCAGGACCCGTTTTCCATCTTCTCAAGATACTGCTGCTCTGCTGAAGGGAGAAAGTCTCTCGGCCCATGGTCTCCTTTGCCTGGTCTTGGCTGCAAAAGTGCCAGCAACGTGGAGGGGTGGGATGCAGCACGTCTCCTTCTGCCTTGGTTATACTGGTGGGTCTGGTAGGTCTGCAGTGCAGCCGCTGCGCTCCAGCTGGCTCTCGGGTCTTCCCATGCTGAGGAAGCAACCGGCATCTTGTGTCCCCGCAGGGAGCAGCCGATGCTGCTGCAGCTCAGGCATCAGCCTGAGTTACCAGCAACATCG